TCTTAAATTCTTAAGCTTAATCTATCTCTCAAAGAATGCCAAACACACGGCTTCTTATTATAAGCAATTAAAAACCTAAATTTTCCTTTTCTCTTTTAAGGATAACTTCCTCATTCTCTAAGTTATCCTATTCTCTATATATATTCTCTTTTTATTCAAGCTTATCATCAACAATTGGATTAGGTGAGTTAACTCCCCTAATTTCTTCATAAATTTACTTACATCTCCGAGACATATTAGAATCCTGGAACCTACAAAAATTGAATAGATGATCCCTAGACATTGTTCATCGGGCTAACAAATCAGTTTTATAGGTGAACGAGCCGAAATCAATGTGGTATTAAAAGTTTAAAACACAAACATTACTATTTAATTTATGGGTTAATTAGCTGTATATTACTTTAAAATTTATAATTAAGAAATTAACATATCCAAAAATATAATTAGGTAACTAGCAACGAGAATTAAATTATGACAAAATTGCCCTTACAACTATAATTAAGGTAAATATAGATAAAAATCCCTAAATATATTCTCTTGATTTAATCCCTAGAAAATTGCTCCTGCAATGGTATCCTTGCCAAAAGTAGATGTGTGTTTTCACAACTGTCATAGGAAAAAAAATTGGATCAGAAGATACAAAAAATAAATATGTCATAACATTTAACTATGTAATAACATAGTTAACTATTTTTGAAACGTCTCAGAACATAGTTAACTATCTAAAATATAGTTAACTATTTTTTGAAAATAGTTACCAATTTGGAAATGTAGTTAACTATTTTCATAGCATCGTTAACTGCAATATTGATTTCAAGACATAGTTGACTACAGGAAAAATGTTATTGTAATAGTTAGTTATTTAAACAAACATAGTTAACTAGTTCAAAACGTAGTTATTAACATACATAGTTGACTATTATCAGAAACATAGTTGCCTATTATAATGAAAAATAACATACATAGTAAACTATTATGAGAAACATAATTACCTTCTGTACCTAGTTAACTATGTCGATCTTCGACGACAACTCAATTTGACCAGGAGATGAATGACGGTGAAGAAATTAATGGAGGAAAAGAAAAACACCATCTTAATCCACTATAAAAGATTTTGATCTATGACAACGAGTTAACACAAAGTAATTAAGAAATAAGAAGAAGAACCAAATTGTGAATTTGAATATTAAGAAGAC